ACTGCAATGCAACCTGTCAGGTGCCTGTGATGCTGGAGCTGAGATGAGAGGTGCTCAAACAGGATAACTCAAGTTCTGGGAATAAGACTGCTGGACCCAGACACAGCTGTTTCCCACCTGATTATATGGCACATGCACATGCCATTAAATGAATGAATGTGGGCTTACTGGGATGTACTTCTAGCATCCTTATCTCCTATTTGGGATTGTAGCCTTCCAGCCTGGGTGTTGTAAATTACTGACTGGAGGAGCTAACATCTCCACTGACTCTGCTGAAGGGGGAGACCTCGACACCTACCTGAAAAAGCATGCTGGTGGGATTATTCCAAATACTGAATCAGTTAAGATCAGTCTCCTCTCTTAATATGCAAAGGAACTAACTTTGCATATTAAGTTAGACCAGGAACAACCTGGTCCAGTAGACCCTGCCCATGGCCAGGAGGTTGGAACTGTATGATTTTTAAGGTCTCTTCCAACCCAAACCATTCTGTAATTCTGTGATTCTGTGATAATGAACTTCTGAAAATTGTGTCTTTTTCTTTCACCTTTTTGACTCAAGCCACTGAAGGTAGGTTTTTTGAAAAGGCAGCAGTAACTTGTGATAACATAGACCAGAACCAGATCCACCTATCTTCCTTTACATTTCCAGGTGTTGCTATTAGACACTTCTTGATGTCTGACCCCAACTTTGCTCCTGCAGAGATCAAACTTGCTACCTCCTTTTTGAGGTGAATAATGGCATGTTCCCAAGCAGTCAGTGGCTGTCAGTGCTTCACTCACAGAGCATGGTGCTACTCATGAGGAGCTGGTAGGCCCTGGCTCTGAAGTGATATTGGACGTTTGTGTTTCCTGGATCACGTCACTCACACAGGGACAGCGGTGTCTGAGTCTGACAGGAGACACTCTAGCAATGCCTGCTCTGAGAAATTGGACTGCTTCAGGAGAGCCCAGAGGTGGCTGATGAGAGGACATGAGGCTTCCAGAACTATGCTTGGACTTAGAGGAGACTCTGTGGTGATCTGCATTAAAAAGGCTTTTGTTAATTGGACAAGTAAATCAAATACATGCAGACAAACCTCTGCCGTCAGCAGGGGGAAGGAAAGGGAAAGGGAAAAGGAAAGGGAAAGGGAAAGGGAAAGGGAAAGGGAAAGGGAAAGGGAAAGGGAAAGGGAAAGGGAAAGGGAAAGGCCCCAGAAGTGGTGAGTCACTGGGTGGAATTTGTCAGTCAATCAGTGACACAGTCAACAGTACAAAGCTGATATTCTTCAGCCTAAGCCATTAGAGCATTCTGCCTACCTAGGGAGAGTTCCTCAGTAGTTGTGATAGCAGGATACACCATGGTTTGATATTTCTGCAGACATGTTCAGAGCTTCTGTCCAAGCAAAGAAGCTCTCTTCCAGGAGAGCAATGGGAGCAGGAGTCCAGCTCTCAAATGAGTGTTTGTCTGAAAGGCAGTCACTCAGGGGCCAAAACTGGGGGGGCTTTGCCTTTTATGTAAATATATTACATAAAATATGTTCCTCAAAACAACAATTGCAACAAAATATGTACTTCAAAACAACAACTGAGTGCCCTACAATGCCTGGAAGTAAATTCTGTTGTCTTGAGTGACCTCTTATCTGAAGCATGGACTAAAGCCAGGCAAAGGCTGAAGTGTGTGTGGCACACTGAGATGGGAATGAGGGCTGGCAAGTGCCATTGTTCTCCACTTTGCCTCCCAGTGAACAGCATTTAATTCTGGGTTTGGTTGTCAGAATAGATTAGATATCTAAATTCTGGAGTTCATAAGTGGTCTGTCTGATCTCTTAGGTGCAGAAAACACGTCGTGCAGCAGAAACTGTCAGATGTATGACTAAACCATTTGTGTATTTCCACAGCAGTATAGTGCATGTTTGCAGGAAGTCAGCTTTTAAAGAAAACCACTTGAACAGTACAAAAATAATTAAATTATCAAGAGACCTGGGAAGAAAGGATTCATTTTCCCAGCAGACTGATGGCAGGGATGAAGGCTGGGTATCAGCTCTATGTAAGAGAACTCTTTCTGTCAGAGCAGCAGCACTAAGAGCTGTTCTGAGAGAGGCTCTTTCCTGGTGAACAGCACCCAAACATAAATGTTCCTCGAAGATTAATGAAGTTTATGATGTGAATGATGGAAGGAAACCAAACAGAAAAACAGTATTGCAAAAGAGGGAGAAAAGGAACAAGCAATTCTTTAAAATGCTCACCAGCAGAGGACACATCTGTTGGGTTTTTGCAGAACAAAAGGACATTGCAAAGAAAGTCAGGGAAGTGCTGCTTTGCAAAATATTCTACAGTCAGCTCTGAAATCATATGTGTACATAACTTCCCAGAGGCTTGAGCAGAAGGATATGGAAATGTCTGCTGCATTTTTTTCTCCCACAGACATGGGGATATATTTTTCCTTATAAAAGTAAGGGATGATGAAAGGAATTTCTCAGGAGTTATGCTGCCCTGGTGCCCTCCCACGGAGGATCTCCATATGGGGAGAGCCTGTGCCACCTCTCCATGACAATTAACTGCAATCATTGCTTGTAGGGGGTCTAAAGCATATGTATCTTGCTCCTGCTGTCCAAAAATGCCACGGGATGGGGCAGAAGGAAAACATGCTCCTTTCCTGCCTGCAACCAACATGTCCAAGGCCCATGACAGAGAGGATGGAGATACTCCTGCAAGATGTCCATCACCTGGAGGCACCCTGTGCCCAGCAAGTGCATTGTGCCAGGCTGTGGAGCTTTCCAGCCTGCAGGCAGGCATCTCCTTCCTTGGACCAGCACCAGTTCTCCCAGCTCCATGCACTGGTATCTGGGACTGACAGTGGCAATAACAGGCTACCTGGTGCACATATTAAGCAAAACAAAATAAATGCAGGAAATAGTCCTGTTTGGATGTGAGGTGTCACTGTCATATTTTCTGAAAAATCTCTTCGCCAGGATTTTTTCTCCTGGGAAGCTGAGAAGCCTCAGAGAAAAATGAAAACAATATTATCTGATTCACTTCTCTTGTTTTGCTGCTTTGGAATGTGGTTGGGGATTGTTTATCCAACAGGTGGCTGTTTCATTGGTTTCATGTGAATTGTTTTGACTTAATGACCAATCACCATCCAGCTGTGTCAGGACTCGAAATAGTCACAAGTTTTCATCATCATTCTTTGTAACCTTCTGTCTGTATCCTTTCTCTATTCTTTAGTATAGTTTTAGCATAGTATTCTTTTATATTATATAATATAAATACATAAAACAATAAATTAGTCTTCTAAGAACATGGAGTCAGATTCTCAATTCCTCCTCCGTGCTGGGGACCCCAAAAATACCACAGTGAGGGGTGGGTAGGACAGAGAATTCTGCACAAGTCCTGTTCTGGTCAAAAGGGTGAGGCAGGGCATGGTCCCTGCTCTCCCCTGGCTCAGAAATAGATGGAGGAGACAGCAGCTAGGAACACTGGCACTCATGGACTGTTTGCTCTCTCACCACTTGTGAGGCTTTGGAGGAGAAAATCGCAAGGAGGGATCATCAAGGAGGATATGTTGAGGGAAGGAGCTCTGGGGAGCATGGCTGCTGCTCATACTCAGCATCCACTCCCTGGAGAAGGGGTCAATCTCCAACCTGGTATCCTCATTGCCTCCAGCCTCACTTTAAATATGGTAACCAAAGGAAAACACCTTTGTGGTGCTAATGTAGAAATTCTCATCCCATGCAACAACAACTTTGCTTGCATCTTATTTTCTCCCTCTCTTACCTTTGCCCACACAGGGCTCTCCTCTGGGCTGTAGAGGGACTGTCCAGTGGGAGCCAACCCCAGCTGGCTGCTCTGCTCTGGTAGTGAAGAAGATTTATAATATGAGCAAAGAAGGGAGGGAAGCTGCTGTAAGCAGAACTTGGTAAACAACATCACAGAGATTTGTTTCTGCAAACAGTAAATGATAGGCTAACACAGCTCTGTGTTTCACATAAATTTTATTGTGTTTTGGAGGAAATTGCATACAATCAATCAGGTCACTCCAGCAGTAGGTAGTATGTTTCATGTGTGCAGTCTGGTCTTTTTGTTGCCAGCTGCTCAGCATAATTCTTAGCAGGATTTTATGCTCTAAAGGGTAACCAAAACTATCAGCATCCAAGGGGACATCTCTTCCTATTGGGATTAATGACATTTTTTGGAAAATTCCTAACTATCCTGAAATTAGGAAGAGGCATTCTGTCTGATTGTAAAACTTCATTAGCAACTTAGTAAGCATCATTTCCTAATAAGAGTATCTGAAAATATTCTCTGTAGACAAAATGTACTTCCAGTGTCAGAGAACATTTTCTTCAACACAGAGCTCTTTATTTGTTGTAATTTTTGTCATACATCACCATTTCAAATCTTTTTATGAACAACAACCAAGTGGAAAAAATTTTATTCTGAAAAAAAGATCTGGATTTGCAAGAGAAAAGAAATGCTAATGGAGCTGCAATTGATATAACAAAGTACATTTAAAAAACAAACCCTGATGGCTGAAGATTAATCATCTGACAGTGAGGGAAGTAATGCTTAAGGAAGGAACACAGACATTGTGCTTGTGAGTGCCAGCTTCCATCTCCATGTACCTCACCTCTATGCCATGGCACACTGCTCCCAGCCTTGTGCCAGCACAAGCTCCCTCCTGTTACATTGTGTTTCTGGGAGCTAAGATGGCTTTTAGGTGAAAAATAATGGGCTGAGTAATTTTTTGGGGCAAATGAGACCCCCCTGTCTGGTTTAAAGTGTGGCAACACCCAGGGCACTGCCAGCAGAGCGAGGGCACGAGTGCTGCAGCGTGGGGGCAGGAGAGGCACTTGCAGGAGTGCTATAAATTGGAGTGGCTGCTGAAGACTTTCTCCAAAGTAATGGGCTTACTTGTTACTTTTCTGCAACAATATTTAGCCAATGTTTTTTCTCTGATGTCAATGCAGGTATATATTTGTTTTCCACAGATAGAACTGCACTGAGAAGCAAATATGTTTGTTGGGGAGTCCTTTTGCCCACAACTATCTGCAATTTCCCCTCTAATTAAAACAAGAACTTCCATTCCAAATTACCTTCTTGTCTGTTACAATCCTGGGATATCATTTATACAATTAATTATAGTCAGACCTAGCATTAAAACTAGGAATTGGAAAAAAAAATCCTATAAAAACAAAACAAAGAGTCCATATTTCAGTCATTAAAAAACAAAAGGAATCAAGGCTTTCCTTGATTTTGGATAGTCCGTAAATGTCTTGAGGTAATACCTGAAAGAAAATAAGCAAGACAGTGAACCTGCCTATATGGAGGGGAACTTCACAGTTTCAACACAGATCAGCTGAGGAACCTTAAAACTGCTCCAAGCTGCCTTTCTTTGTTTTCTTAGTGTGTTACTCTGCAAAAAAGCAGCTCCAAAACTATTTACACCCGGTTATTTAATTAACTGATAATATTGTTAAGGTTCTAACAGGCCTAAAGTAGAAATTTTAGGAATTCAGAACATATCTGTTCCAAAGGACTGCAGAGGTTGCAAGGGAAACCTTAGGAAAGGCTCACTTTAATGAGGCTCAGTAAAGAGAGGCTTTAGCAAGGTGGAAGCAGTGATGCAGCTCAGGTCACAATAAATTACTGTCAGGCCAGGGGCACCAGCTGCCTGCCTGCCTTACGCAAATAAGCCAATACACCTCCTGTACATGGCTTCAGATTTCAGTTTTATCCCAGTTCCTGGCTCTGCTCCTCCCTGGCATTTTGCAAACTGCATTCCAAGGGGAAGTAGCAGCATATGGCAAGGAACAGTTTGATACCTGTGATGGTGATAAGCACGTGGACCAATGCAGCAGAGAGTGAAAAAGGCAAAGGCGAAGGCTGGTAGGGACCAGGTTGCAATGGCAAAACCAAACCATTCCACAATTTCTCCAAAGTAGTTGGCTCCAGAAACGTAGGTGAACAGTCCTCCTGCAGCAACAGACAAAATATTTAATTTTTACAGTCATCTCCTGTACATGGAAAGTTCTTTCACATGAAGTCAGCAGCAGAATATATACCCTTTCTTATTCAGCCCATAGCAGCAACCTAAATGCACTTCCCTGAAGCCAGTGGAACCATGCCAAAGGGGGATCTTGTTTGAAATTCATGTGTAAACACAAGAATCAATGGGGATTCTGACTCAGAGGTTTCCAGCACTTTCACAACCATTTATTTTCATTTGGAAAATAACTTAAGAAAGGCCATTATTAGATTTAAATTACAAGAATTAGCATTAGTCAATCCTTTTCATGTTCTAAAAATATTTTGCAACTTCACTGCCTGTGGGGAATGCAATATCTGGATCTCAGATTTTGCAACATTTACAAGAGGCCGGTAAATATTGGAGGCGAGAAACTCTGGGAGAGACATATCACCATCCATAGGAAGCCAGCAGAAGGAGTCAATACCAAGCCCAAGAAATTCTTGGATTCCTATCCATGTTGCTCTACAGAACTAGACATTTCCTGGAAAGGCAATTCAGCACCTTGCATCCTTGGTGTTATTATTTTCCCCTGAAGTTTGAATCCACCTTTTGCACAGTAAGAAGTCCACTACTACTTCTTTCTGGGCATGGAGAAGACTATTTCCTTCTTTGCAGCTGCCTTTTGCAAAGTTAAAATCCTCTTCCTATGTCCACTTCCATCTTCTCAGAATTACCAGCCAATTTCCTAAATCTCTCCTCACAGTCTGTGTTTTCCAGATACTCTTGCTGCTTTCCTTGGACTGCCTGCAGCCAGCTCACACCAGTCCCTGCAGCTTTGGGGGGCACCTGAAGCAAATCCCTGTGCAAGAGGTACTGAGAAGCTGTGCAAGACCAGCTTCTCTGCCATTACTGTCACTCTCCTGTGAATTCAGTCAGAAAACATTATTTATTCTGCTGCCCTACTTCCTTCAAGGAAGGGGAGATAAGAATGTACCTTGAGGAATCTTGTATGTGACTTCCCCGGGTTTCCTCAGCTGGCGCAGCAGGAGATCACTGTGAATGTTGATTCCCATTCCCAGCAGAAATAAGAGGAGGCCTAAGAAACCAACAGGAAATGGATTAGAAAGACAGCTCTGTCCAGATATCCCTGCTCAAGCTCATGTGTGAGGTTTATCTTTGCAGCAGACAGATAGGGGTCATAATTTGAGGTGGGTGGAGTCTTTTTCAAGTCAAAAGATGCATTGCTGCCAAGAAGGCTACTGAACAGGAGAAGCACAGGTGTCTGGTGACACCAGAGCACTTTCAGCTGAACTTCCAGGTGACCATAGTCATTTATTGAATACTGATGGGGACACAAAGTACCCCATGGCCACCACAGCTGATGACAGCCAGCCACAGCTGTGCACGAAGTAAGCACTGAGCTGTAGAGGAGTACCAATACCCTCCTGTTACTGCTGAGGAATAGGGAGCACAGAGACACAGAGTTATCCAGCACATCACTGGAGCTGGGAAAGGAACCTACATCCCAGCACCTCTCAGTCCACTGGCAGTGAGGCTGCCTGGACAGAGCTTTGGGCATGGATGGAAAGTAGGTACTTGCTGAAGGATGCTGACATTATCTGGCCAGAGTGATCCATTGACCAGATTCCATTTAACTAAAAAACCAGAGGCATTTGATTGAGAAAGTCTGCAGATGATATGCCCTTCATTTTGTGACATGTTGGACACTGAGAAAACCACCTCTGACAATGATGGGAAAGCAAGAAAAGAAATAGTGTGTGCAATACAATGTTAAATAAAAGATTTAATGCTGATAAAACCTCAACATTTCCAGTAGCAACAGAAAGTTGGTAAGAGTCTGCAGAGGAAGAATATACTGGGGGTTTTTTTTCCTTAATATTTCAAGTACTGCTAATGCTGATTTTCTTTTTTCTTTTTTTTTTTTTAACATTAAACATATATATATATATTATTTATCATGAAAATGAAGTTATATGGTGTTTTCTTTGTTGGATATGTGAAGTCTTACTAAACAATGTCCAGAATTTTTAGTATGTGATGCTGTCTGAAAAGACTGGACTTGCATCCATGGTCTGAAACAGGGTATTGTGAGTACCTTGGTTAGTTTGTACTTATTGTATCCGAAATGTTTCCTCAGACATCCATGTTAATCCTCATTTCTATGTTTACATTTAAAACCACTCTCTGTGCAGTACCAAATCTGTAATGCCATCCAACTGCTCTTGTTCAGTTATTCTCTGAGGGATTTTGCAGGGTGAAATTCAGTTAGGCTATTAAGTTACAGAATAGAAAGGAATCGTATTAACATACAACCAGACTGTGCGTGATCTCTAATCTTCCCCTGTGCCTTACATGAGAAAAAAGAGCTCTTTGTCCCCAGAGCTTCATTCATGCTGGGGTTTTGCCCTGCTTTTCTCTCTCACTCAGAATAGCTGCATGGAGTGCAAAGCTGCCTGGCAGGGAAGAGAAAGCCACAGCTTGCGCTCGCACACAGCCACTGCTGGGTGCACGCTTCTGCCTGAGCAAGGGCACAGCCCCATGCACCTGGGGCTTGAGATTGCATCTCCGTGGCCCACTGCAGCAGGAGGCTCTGGAGTGCTGTCAGTAAAACAAGGCTCATGATTTGAGACTAACACATAACATGATATACCTTCAAAGGTGGCTGCCTAACAGGAAAAAAAAAGTTACTGCACATTTGTTTTATCTGGGCGGGCAAGCAGGTCTTATGCTGATTTCCATCACAACAGATTTGACTCACATGTTCACTGAAGATTAGGACATAATTCAAAATGCTTACAAATTGCTTGGAGATTAGATCTTGGGAATCCTGCAGCTGTAATTACCTGATGTAAATCGGATGTCGGTGCACCAATCGTTTGGGTATTCAGCGCAGTAAATCAGGTAGTACCCCTGGAGGAAGCCATTATAGATACAGAATAACATGCCAAAGAAAAGCAATTGCAGTGGGAAAGGTCTGCCTCTAGTGAAGAAAGGGTAAATAAATGTCCTAAGGTAGATAAGAAAAAAAAGTCAGCACATTGCTCATGATAACATTGTATTTGCAATTTCTCTGCTGTAGGGAAAAAAACTTGAACAAAGCACAAAGTAGAAAATAGGTCAATAAAGACAAAAAAATTGAAAAGAACTGCAACAATATAAGATCAGCAATTTATTTGGAACATGAAATCCTACAGATACACATCTTTTTCTGGTCCTGCAGGACTGCACCCAAGGTGGGAAGTTAGAAAGCTCATCCAGATTCACTGATGCTTTCAAAATGTCTCTGTACCTTTCTCTACGCTTGTGGGTGAAAATGAGGAATTCGTGCCCACAAACTCCATTTTCATTTCAAGCCTTGATTTAATGCTCCAGTGGGCCAAGGGAAGATTGGTTGCTGTGGAGGGACATGGGGACATGATGTTCAGACATCACTGATGTTTGTGAAGGGCAGCACCAACTGCAATACTGATTCTCCAAACAACGATTACTATGCCACGAGCATCGAACATCGGGAGGAGCTTTGTTATGGAGAAGACATTCCTGATCCCTGAGGGCTTTAACTCATGGTGGCAGATGGGCTTGAGGGCAGTGTTGAGACCCTCTGGCTCTCTCATCCCCTGGAGTATACAGCCCAAAATGTAATCTCCTGCCCCAGCCTCTCCCACTTCACTCAGAAAGAGACCCCATGCATCTCTAACACACAACAGCTCTGTCCTGCTCTGCTTGGACACTTCAATGTAGGGGCAGAGAACTGTTTTTCCCTGCCTGGGGAGCTGCTTTACCTCCAGTCCCTGCCTCCCCTCCATGCTTTCAAGCTTTTGTTTAAAATAAGAAGAGCTACAGCCATAAGTTTAATATGACAAACACCAAGATTTCCATGCAGCTACAGCAACTGGGCTTTCTTAGGCAGCAGCTGTGCTCACAGTAGCATTAACATCTGTGTCAGCAAATAATTGGTGCTTGTATAGTTTTAATTTATATGTATGTTCGCTTCAGGTGGGAGTATCCCTGTTGACACTTTGGGCAATCCATATCATCCCTTGGAGAGTGAAACAGAGAAGTTATATTAATTTTTAGTATGTGTTTTCTTACCTGGCCACTTAAGTTCTGCAAGTGGAAAAATATACACTCTGAATTTCTTTCTTTTGCCCTCTTGGGCTTTGGATGGTGCTCATCATACCAGTATATAAGCATTGCTGATAAGTAATTCACATCCCATGTTGCAAGTGTCAACTAAAGCAAGCTGAGGCATAAAATCTCACAATATTATAAATCTAGATTAAATCATTCCATGTCTGGAAGTGAGTAAGCAGAGTACAAGCAGCAGCATGTTAATTCACTGCTTTCCAAAGCAAGGCAAGACAGATTTCCAGCAATTAAGGCAGCTGTGATGCAGAAGTGCTAAATACTTTTAAAGAAAGAGAAACGTAAGAGGTATGGAAAATGTTCTTCAGATAGTGATATCACATTTGTCATATTTGTTACAGAATGGGAAGGAATGCTCTTTGGAGTTATGTTACCAATAATTACTGATCTTGCCCTTTAGGAATGTGATGCTAGAATTATGAGTAAGCAAGGCCAGCTTTAGCATTCTGATCTGCTGTTGAAGTCATATTGACAAGACAAATTTGTCCTGAACAGTTATGAAAAAAAGTGTGAAAATTTCAAATGCAGGCTTGAAGAAAGCAAATTGTATAGAAGAGGGAATGATGCAAACCACACAAAATTATTTAGGAGGAGAATGTATACAGTAGATTCAAGTAGGACTGGCAGTGCTTTATCCTTTGCTAAAACCAGTCAGGTTTAAGAGTCTCTGAGTTTTTACAGCTGATGCAAACAGAAGGTTCTCAGGTCCCAGACAAACTGATTGTTTCTGTGCTGCTTCCTGGTGCTGCTGTTGCTGCAGAGGTTATAGGCCCTTGAAAGGTGACTTATCCTGCAGTAACAGGAGGCCACAAACCTCTCTGCCATGGAGTGCACACAGGACAGAAAGAATCTGCATGCAAAGTAAAAGTACAATGGCAGGGGAGCCAGGAGGCACCAGCTTTGTTTAGTTGTTGAGGTAGTAAAATCCTGGCATCACTGTAATCCTGCCTCATAGCAGTTTGGACAATCCAAGTCAGAATTTCATCCAAGAATCTTTGTTGTGGAACAAATTCTCCAAGGAAATCTCGGTGGGTCTTTTAAACCAGAGACCACATTCAATTCTCTGTATGAGATTGTACTACATGGCTAGTTGAGGGTGCACAAACTATTCCTGATGAGATTTGAAAAAGCAACAGAGATAAAGCAGGGGCATTTAATAGTTTTAAATATTCCATGGAAGAGTCTGCAGCTCTGCTGGAACTATTTTGCAGTGTGAAAACCAAAGGGGGCCTGAAGACCACCATTTTAGAATAACAGAACAAATCCAGTCTTTTGGTTTTAGTCCAATGACAAATTTGACCTTTTACTTTCGGTGCAGTATTGATGACTAATTCATTACTCCTTTATTATCTTTACCAGCCAAAGGCACTGCATCTGACTAAACCATTGCCAACAGCTTCTTTTTAAATGAATGAATAATGCATTATTCATTTTCTTCCCCATCATTTATTTTCCAAAAAAACCCCAGGTTTTGAAGAGAAAATCATTTGACATTGCATCAAATTTCATCTTAGAGGTATTAGCCCAGCTTCTTGAAAACTCTGGAGACTCTTACCTAAACCCAGGGAAAGTATAGGTTTGATCTTCTTTCCACAGAAGGTGGAAATCTTTCACAAATGTTACCATAAGAGTAGATTGTCAGTCCTCCAATAGCTTGTCAGTCAGAGATGTTTATGCTCCTGCTGTGTCTTCTCCTCTCCAGGCCCTAGTTGCAGTGTTTCAGACAGTAACAGCTCATTTATACATCTGGAAGCTCAAGGTGTTTCACATCTGGGGCAGCTGGGCCAAGGATGCCCAGAATGGAGGACACCTGGTTCCCTCCACAGCCTCCTGCTGTGTCTGCCCATCCATGCCTCTGCCACCAGGCCTGTTTCTGGGTCTAACCAGGATGAACAAAGGGCTAGGAAGTAGAAGGATTGCAAGATGGGCAGGGCTGATGTGGTGCTTTTCTCCTTGAAAGCAGGTGCTGGCCATAACCCAGCTTTGTCCTACTCATGCTGGGGCACGGTCTGAATGCCCTGGCCCATCCCCTGTGACCCTGGCCAGCTTCCAGGAGAGACTTATGGACTTCTCCTGACCAGGAATGCTCTGAGTCCTTGCAGGGACATTTTAGTTCTCCTTGGACTGTGGGGGGCAGGCCCTGCCCGACTGCCTGGTGAGGATGAACCAAGGTGGGAAACAGTGCCTGAGAAGCACTGCCCACGGCCTGGGCTCCATGTACTCTGGCTCCTTGCTTGTCCCACCCAGAGGCACAAAAGGTGGAGAGAGCTGGTGGCTCAGGTCAGGGTGGGCAGCCAGGCCCTCCCATGAGGGTGATGCCCCCAGGGAGCTCCCAGCTCATGTGTGCACTAAGCTGACCCTGGAAAACACAGACAGGTGGGGTTGTGCAGTTGCTGCAGGGCTCATGCGGTAGGTGAGATAATGATGGGCCCTGCTCCATCGAGGGCCCGTGTTGCAGCCCCTTTTCTCACTCCCTGAAAACTCCTTGCTGAGCTCTGCAGTTCTCACCACTCTACTGGTACCTTCTCAAAGACCTCTCTAAGTAGAGGACAGCTCTATAGAGTCTACTGCATCTCCTTCCTTATGGGACTGTTTTCATTTTCTTATTTGTACAAATACCCGTATCTCAGGTGATAAGAAAAACCTTGTGATTTGTGTTACACTAACTACAGACCAGTCAGACATGAAAGGATTGGCCTGCTATCAAACCATGGATTTACTTTCAATCTTTCTTGGGCACAGATTGACAAGATTGGTGTCCAGACCTGGGGAGATTACACAGACCAGTTCTCTTTGCACCAACAATTAACACCATAGGTTGTCACTGGAATCACATTACTAGAGAGCTGCTGGCACCCTTGGCATACCTGACCGCTTGGACCAAGGCTCAAGTTGTTCACAAACAGGATGGTCTTCTCTTTGGGGTGCTGTGGTGCCTTACACAAAGCTTCTAATTATTCTGGAGAGTTATGGATGCCAAATTAGATGTCCCAAAGACATCTGCTGCTGATTAGTCTGCACATACTTTCTGAGCCCCATTCTGTAGTTTATTTGTAGGTTAAATGCACTTTTACTGGTTTTGAGTTGTGTAACAATAATTCTCATTGGATATTTATAGGAGAAAACTGTCAAGTCCACACCAGGACACAATCTGGCACCTAATTTTCCTGTGGCCAATTAAAATTTTTCAGTTATCCCAGACTGGGTTAAAACAAATGTGATGGGTAAATTTTCAGTTCCAAGCAGCAGGCTAATTTGCTATCAGTTTAAAGGGAAAATAAAAGAAAATACTCAAAAACACTTCCAAAAGTGAAATTAGGCATTTTAACCCTCCTTCATCATGCTATCTACAGGTAACTAATCACTTCCTGGACTGTGGCCCAGTTTGTAAGCTCATCTTAACAGAGCTTAAATAATTGAATAGAGTCAGTGAGGGGAGCAAGAGAACAATCTTTTTTGTTTTAATCATGCAGATTTATCTATCTAGTGATGACAAAAACAAAGTTGGAATGAACTCTCTTTTCAAAGCCAGCAATATTTTTCCACATGCAAAATACCCTACTTCCATGTTCCTCCAAAGGTCTTTGGACAAATTTTGATGGCTATAATTTAAGGAATAAGAAAGATAGATATATGATTTAAAATCTTTTGATTCAGCTGTATCAAACAATACTAAACCTGTCATATCTGGTTAATTTCTGAGGAGTATATCTAAAAAAATTTCATCAATCTACTATCCTTGGGATGTTTGTGGTTCCTTTCCAAGATGAATTGAACCTGAAGCCTGTTATTGTAGGGACAGTCTTTCTTTGTGGTCTCTTAGTGTCAGGTCCAGGGCTGATGAAGACTTCTGGCAGGAGC